CACACACACACACACACACACACACACACACACACACACACACACACGGCAGCTCCAGGCCAATCATCACAGCCAGCCAGGAAGTGGTGGGGTGGGAGGCGAGGGGTGAGGCTCTGGTGCGGGTGGTTTGGGTCTCCGGGATCTGGCCCTAAGCCCCAGCACGTGCAACATGGCTGGATTTGCAGAGACGGCGGTGAACATCGGATTCGCGTGCCAGCTGCTCTCGGACAACATGATAATCCTGGAAGATAAGGACATCAAGTAAGCAGCTGACCTCCCTGCCCCCTTCCAGGGTCCTGGGCTGGACGAGGGGCCACCGTTCCATCCACCCCATGTCCCCACAGTCGTTTGCTGGAGAACTATTGGAACGAAAACTACCAGCAGCGGGCGTTCAAGATGATGAGCCACTACAATATGGCCTTGGTTATCAATGGGGAGTTCTTGGTGAGTGTCGCCGGGGTGAGGAGCAGCCGTGCTGGTGAAACTGGCGGGGGGACATGCCAAGAGATGCAGACCCTGCTGACCCAAGCCCCTTCTCCCCCATTCCGCCCCCCACCCCGGACACCAGGATCAGCTGCTCCTGTCCTTACGCAAGGAGCCCCGAGCCCTGGTCCAGAATGCAGTGGTGGATGAGGCCACCCAGCAGCTGGGCATGACCCGCCTAGACTTCCTCCAGGCTCGGAGGATCTCACAGATATGGAAAAACTTCGGGCCCTTCATGGCCCCAGCCCAGTCGGCCGACTCCAAGACCCAGCAGAGCCCCGAGGTCCTGCGGGAGAGGGCCTTCGTCGACCTGGCCTCCAAGTGCCAGGCTGTCATCTGCTGCAGGGTGACGCCCAAGCAGAAGGCCCTGGTGGTGGCGTTGGTGAAGAAGTACCAGCAGGTGGTGACGCTGGCCATTGGAGACGGAGCCAACGACGTCAACATGATCAAGAGTGGGTGGCGAGCCTGGGGCTGGGGCGGGGCTGAGGGTCTGGGGATTGATTGGGCTCTGGGCAGCTGACTCACGGCCTCTGCAGCTGCGGACATCGGCGTGGGGCTGGCTGGTCAAGAGGGCATGCAGGCCGTTCAGAACAGCGACTACGTGCTGGCCCAGTTCAGCTACCTGCAGCGGCTGCTCCTTGTGCACGGGCGCTTGTCCTACATGCGAATCTGCAAGTTCCTGCGTTACTACTTCTACAAGACGGCGGCCAGCATGATGACCCAGATATGGTTCTCCCTCTTCAACGGCTTCTCTGGGCAGGTGTGTGGGGGGTGAGGACTGCCGGGGGCAGCCAGGGGCTGGGTTTCAGGCTGGGTGTGGCATGCCTGTCATCCCAGCACTTGGGAGGCCGAGGCAGGAGGCTTGCCACTAGTCAAGGAGCACCTGGGTAGATCAGGTGTGGCATGCACCCTTTCCGTCTTTGATCCCAGCACTCGGGAGGCACAGGCAGGTGGATCTCTGAGTTGGAGGCCAGCCTGGTCCACAGAGTGAGTTCAGGACAGCCATGGTCATACAGAGCCTGTCTTGAACAGCAGCAAAGCTAGGTTACCACGACAAGATGAATGGCTGGGGCTGCAGCTCACTGGTGGATTGCCGGCCGGCCTGCCGCGAGCAGAGCCTCGGGACTGCGGAGCCCGGCGGAACCCAGGGCTTCCTGTATGTGCTTGGGCACTCACCAACGGTGGTGCAGGCTGGCCTCCGGCTGGAGATCGCCTCCCAGGAGCTGCAGTGCTCGGGTTTGTGGTGCTCGTTTTCAGCTCGGTTAGGTCTGGCGTCAAGGAGAGGAGTGGGCCTCCGGGTCTCTCCCAGCTACGTGGAAGCTCATTCTCCACACCTGCTGTACAGCCTCAGGAGTCCCATATGCCCCAACGTGCCAGCCTTGAGCGTCTTCCCTTGCTGTGGCCGGCCGCTGGGCTCCTGGGCAGGAGGGCTGACGTGCTCCCCTCCCTTGCAGCCCCTGTACGAAGGCTGGTTTCTGGCTCTCTTTAACCTGCTGTATTCCACGCTCCCAGTCCTATACATTGGTCTCTTCGAGCAGGTGAGTGACAGGCAGGCTATCTGTCTCTCCAGAGCTCTGTCCGGGAGAGCCTGTGGGAGGGGATCCCTTTGCTGGGGGAGCCCTGCCTCCTATGAACCAGCTCCTCTGCCATCCAGCCTTCTGTGTGATGTGGAGGGATTACCAGAAGGAAGGCTCTGTTGTTCCTCCCACCTGTGGCCCAGAATAACCCCGCCAGAGGGCATAAATTTGGGAAAGGACCACAGGGAACATTCTGGAACAGGGAGACTGAGGACAAAGACAATTTGATCTCACATTAGGTTTTTGTTTTTGTTTTTGTTTTTTTTTCCTGTGTGTATGTGTTTTCTTTTTTTTGGTGGGAGGAAAATCGGGTTGTTTGGTTTGAATGCTCGTCCCCTCATGCTGAGCCTCTGGGGAGTCTCTTCAAGTCCCCACCTCCAGACTCCTCCTACCCCTAGACTACCCTCAGAGCCTCTGCCTTCTGTCCAGGACGTGACTACTGAGAAGAGCCTAAACATGCCAGAGCTCTACACGGCTGGCCAGAAAGAGGAGCTGTTCAACTACAGCATCTTCCTGCAGGCCATTGCCCACGGCCTCCTCACGTCCCTTATCAACTTCTTCGTAGCGGTTCTGGTCAGCCAAAACATGTCCAAGGCTGGCAGCTCCAATGACTACCAGTCCTTTGGGGTTCTGGTGGCAATATCTAGCCTGCTGTCCATCACCCTGGAGGTAGGTGAAGCCAAGACCCCTGAGGAACTATGGAGGCCTCTGCCTAACACTGGTATTTTTTGGGGGTGGGGGAGGGCATTTCAAGACAGGGTTTCTCTGTGTAGCTTTGGCTGTCCTGGACCTTGTAGAGCAGGCCGGCCTCGAACTCACAGAGATCCACCTCCCAGAGCGCTGGGATTAGAGGTGTGTGCCACTGCACCCGCCTCCCACAAAGCTGCACGTCGTCCTTGCGCAGGGGCCATGCTACTCTGCTCTGTATCGCTGCCGAAGCGAGCATTCATTCTATCCTCTTAAAAAAGATTTGTTTCATTTCAACTGTGTGTGTGCGCCTGCTGAGGCCAGAAGAGGGCGTTAGATCCCCTGGAGCTGGAGTTATAAGCGCTTGTGGGCCAGCTGACAGGGCTGCTGGGAACTGGACTCCGGTTATCTGCAAGAGCAGCCATCTCTCCGGGCCCCCTTTTAAAAAGTCTGGTTGGTTTTCTTTGTTTGTTTGTTTTTTCTTTGCTCTCCACCCCCCCCCCCCCGCCTTTCCTTTAGTCTTTTTCTTACACCAGGCTGGCCTCAAACTCACAGAGATCCACCTGCCTCTGCCTCCAAACAGCTTCACATCCAACCCTGTCAGTGTGTGTGGCATGTGCACACGGGCCCTCCCCCCTCCCCACGGGGGCCTGAAAGTCAGTTGATGCTGATTTTGCTTGAGGGAGGTTCTTGCTCCTATCTGCTGCTGTGTGACAAGACTTCTCCCGGGGAGACACACACCCTGTCTACTCACCCACACAGGGAGCCCACGCCAGACCAAAGCATGGAGGTCCAGTGTGGTGGACCAGTGAGTTTGGGGGAGTCACTTACGGGAGCAGAAATGACTCAGACAGCTACATCGCTGAAGCCAGCCTGGGTGACGGCTCCCACAGCCGGGCACCTGAGCACACTGCACAGCCTGCATGCCTGGCCGCACAGGCTGGAGAGTGTCCTTCCCGAGCGACATGGCTGCCCTGACGCTCTTCCAGGCGGCTTGGCTGCGCTCAGGATCGTTGCAGTTCTGCCTCCTGAGGGGACTCCATCGTGTATTGCTCACGCCGGCAGGGAGGAGCCTAGTGAAGCGGGCCACTTTCAGGGACCTTCTGGAGCTGCTCCGTGTCCTTTAACCTCCTGAAGAAGGAGCTTCCTGCGGGATGGAATGAATCTAGGAGGAGAGGTTACAAAACCACCAGGCTGCATAGCCGTGGGCTTTGTGGTTTCTGTCTTTGCCTCCCATCTGCCCACAGGTGGGCTGGAAGGCAGGTGTGTGGTGTCACACCCAGAACCCAGCTTTATGTGGGTGCTGGGGATTTGAACTCAGGTCCTCAGGCTTACGCAACAAGCACTGAACCCCCTGAGCCATGTCCCCAGGGCTCCACTTTATGTTTTTGAGACTGGTTCTCCCAATTGAGGTTCGAGCTAATTGGGTGGGACCTTCGGGCACCACTGTGCCAGCACCTTCATGCATGCGTGCCATGCTCTCAGCTTCTATGAGGGACTGAATTCACTCCTCGGCCTAGACGGCGCCCCCCCCCCCCATGTCGCACCCCATTGCTGACTTCTCCCCTGGCCCCAGGGCCCTGCATCCTGCCTCCCATGTCCCATTGCTGACCTCTTGGTTCGCTGTCCAGGTCATTCTTATCATTAAGTACTGGACGCTCCTGTGTGTGGTCAGCATCGCGCTGAGCCTCGGCTCCTACGTCATCATGACAAGCCTCACGCAGAGCCTGCTGCTCTACAGGATCTGGCCCCAGACCTTCCAGTTTCTGTGTGAGCCCCTCGGCAGAGCGTGGGCAGGAGGCAGTGACCTCTTGGGTAGCAGGAGGGTGGCCTCCTGGCATCCCCTGGAGGGAGGGAGGTGGCTGAGGGGAGGGAGGCCGGGGCTGACCCCGCGCCGTCCACCTCATCCCCAGTCGCTGATTACAAAGTGCTCAGCCAGCCCTCCAGCCTCCTGGTGATCACGCTCAGCGTAGTGCTCAACACGCTGCCCGTCCTGGCCTTTCGCACAATCCATGAAATCATCTTGAAACTGCGCCGCAAGGTGAGGCGGGGATGGGAGCCCTCCAGCCCCTCCCAGACACCGCAGACAGAGGCACTCGGTGTGGGTGTGGGCTCCGTGACAGGAAAGGGCAGGAGCAGGGGAATCCAGAGACGGGAAGCGGATCCCTGGGTGGCAAAGGGAACGGAGGATATGGATACTCTGTTAGGAATGAGGCCTCCTTTGGGGTGACGGAATGTTCTTAGCACCAGACACCATCCTTAAGTGAGGCTGAAATGGCATTTATTTATTTGTTTAGATTCATTTCTTTTTTATGTGTGGCTGTTTTGTCTGTGCACCGTGTGTGTGCAGTGCCCACAGAGGCCAGAGGGGGGCGCTGGCTCACCTGGAACTGGAGTTGGCGTTCAGGACGTTGTGAGCTGCCATGTGGGAGTTGGGAATCAAACCTGTTTTCTCTGGAAGAGCAGACAATGCTCTCCTTAACCGCCAAACCATTTCTCCAGCCCTAATGTGCTAATTTTTGATTGTCAGGTTAAAAAACATTTTTTTTTTTTTAATTTTGTTTTTTGAGATCAAGTCCACAGCGAGGGCTCAGGGAAAGACTGATGGTGTGCCCAGTGTTGAGTCAAGGAAGGACTCCTGTAAAATGTACATTTCTTTATTTCTGTGGGAAGGGCTGGGAGCCTGGGAGGTTCATGCTGAGCGATGCTTGTGCAGAGAACAACTTTTGGGAGTCAGTTCTCTCCTTCCACTCTGGGGGTGACCACGACTGAGCTCAGGGCCTTAGGCTTGGGGGCAGGTGCCTTACTCAGCAAGCCTTAGTGAAGGACTCTGCTGCTCCGGAATCGCCTTCCAGGTCAGACATCAGCTCACTGGGCCAGTGTTGGGAAGCACCCAGGGGCCCCCACTGGGGCGCAGGGGACCCTAACGCTACGATGCTCTCTGCAGGAAGAGGCAGTCCCAAGCGAAGAGATGGCTGTCGAGCCACCCATGACGCCTCTTCGTCGTGGGGCCCCAGCCCGCCGGTCCAGCTACGCCTTCTCCCACCGTGAGGGCTATGTAAGCCTCATCACCCAGGGTACCATCCTACGCAGGCCCATGGGCGAGCAGAGTGGAGACATGGCCTGTGAGTCCTTGAACCTGTCCGAGGAAGACCTACCTTCGTTCCACAAGGAATCCATGTTTAACCCACGGAAGATCTCCATCCTGGCCAAGAAGAGGCTTCAGCACTTTGGACGGGGGCCCCAGGAAGAGGTCCACTCTAACATCAGCTCCCAAATTATGGAGAAGCAGGCCGCTCTGCTTCTGGACTGCCACACCTCTGACACGAAGAAGCCACTCACCCTAAGCTCCTTAAAGGGCTCGCTTCAGCTGCCCCTGTCGGAGAGCCAGGCCTGCCACAGGGTGCCGTCGCAGTACGCCCTGGATGTCGGGTCCTCCCCTCGGAGGGGCCCTCACTGGAAAAGGTCAGCCTCTCCCAGCCATCTGGAGGTGCCCAGAGAGAAACCCTGACTTGGGCTAACCAAAAGCCCCTTGCACAGTGTGACCATCACCTGCGAGCAGAGGCCAGAGGTGGGGCAGTGTCACCGAGGCTCCAGTGCACAGAGCCCTGCCCTGCGGGAGCACAGCCACTCAACAGCCAGCGTCCAGAGACACAAGCGGGCGACATCCTTGTCTTTTTTAATAAAACAGGGTCCCTCTGGCCCCAGGGCTTCTTTGGGCTCACTCCTTCCCCAGCTCTTCTTTTGGTAGAAGCCAGGGAACATTGCTCCCCAGATAAAACAATACCCCAATCAAAAAAACTTCAAAATACTGACCGCGAAGGTCAAGTAGTTTAATTGCAGGAAAATATTTTTGTTGGCTTTTATCCCCCTTCTCTTCTAAGTGCATAAAGCTTCATTGTTTTTGAGAAAGAGAAGGAAGAGATCAGGCGCTACCTAACCTTTGGCCTCACCCCACACCCATCTTGGTTTAAGCTGCATCCCAACACCCTCCTGCCCCTGCCTCCTCCAGGCTGCCTCCCTTGATTAGAGAGATGAGTTAGAGCCATCTCAGAAGCAAGACCTGATGTGGTCTGCATCTCAGGGTCAGCTTGGCTGACAGGCAAGAGGGCAGAGACAGACTCATCTTCCCTCTACCCCTTTTGCTGCCTTCTGGGTGGCGGAGTCCCATTCCTCCCAGATCTGTGCCAGTCCACAGTTGTCCAGCACACACGTCTATGGAAGTGCAGGACTAGGACATACTTTATTGCAGAAAAAAAAAAAAATAGCAAAATAGAAACTAGCATAGCAAGGGTTAAGGACGGTGGCTGCCCCTGCTGCTTTCCTCCTTTTACTTTCAGTCTTTAAGCCTGTCAGCTGAAGGCTGGTGAGGAGGACTGCTCTTGAGGTTTCCAGCAGGGGCCTGGAGCTTTGCACGATCCCGGAAGCTACTCAGGAGGTGTCCCTCACAGCACTCGCGGCTGAGATCACCCACCAACACCCACCAAAACCCTGGGACCTTGGTGGCTAAACTCTGCCTGAACCATTTTGCAACACTTCCCCGCACCCTGGGGTGCGGTCCTGCAGGTGTGTGTGGGGGGCGCTTCTAATCCTTCATCCCGACCCTGCTGCATGGGACCTGCCGGTCAAAGCCAGCTCTTGCTTGGTCTTGTAGCCTTGCGGCCTTGCTGGGACAGGTTGGGAGCACAGAGGGTCAGGCCAGCTGCATCCACCTCCGTTCTTCAAGGGGCATGAAGCCCCGTCCTCCAGGGTCCCCAGGTATCTGCCAAAAGGGTTCTGCCATGGCTGAGGGTATCCCAGGAGAGCTGGGTGGGCCTTGGGGAAGGTGGACCTTGGTATCTGGGAAAGCTGGGCACCTCCAAGCCCACTTCCTGTCTTCACCCGTGACTTTCCTGGCTGACTGTTGTGAGGGTGCTTGGGAAGTTCATGCTGAAGTGAAGCCACAGGGGTGGGAGAGGGACAAGGAGCCCCCAGCGGTCACTCACAGTCCTCCCAGGTCCGGCAAAGGAGGAGCGATGGCCCTCCGCCAGGCTGGACACACAGGCCAGGGGTTGAGAGAGAAGGAAGGTGTAGGGTATTCAGGTCTGGCCGGCTCCAGGACCTTGCCACCTGATTGGACACAGTTCCTTGGACATCAGGGCGGGGACAGAAACAGAGCTGCCTAGAGGGCCACAGGACAGGCCAACCAGTGCGTGGAGCACAGCATGGCAGTGACACCTCCCGCCCCTCCTGCCAGGAGCATCATCAGAAACTTCCATCTCTTTGGTTTTCTTTTCTTTTTTTTTTTTTTTTTTTCTTAAATTACATTTGAACACGGAACACATAGAATCATAAATACTCTTAGAAGACACGACTCCATAAAACGAGGAAACAGAACAAGCCAGGGAGAGGTACAGCTGTCGCATGCCTTTCTCTCTTTCCTAAGAGACTCTTTTACATAGGAAATCTGTGAAGGCCACCGGTCCCCCATCTCACCATCCAGGGACCGTTGGCTTCGCTGCCCTGACATTCAATGTGTCTCCCACGGAACCGGTCAGAGATAAACATGCCATTATTTGCAAAATTATAATTTAACGGTATAAAGCTTCGAGTCACAATAATCCCAAAACTAGCTAAGGTTTTTTTTGTTTTGTTTTGTTTTGTTTTTAGCACATAAACTATACATTAAATATCTTGAGGTATTTCAGAGAGAATTGTCAAAGGCTAGGAGGAATTGTGCTGGGCTGTGGGTTCCCTGTGTAGGAAAGATCTTTGGTAGGTTAGGACCAGAAGTGGGGGGGGGAGCAGAAGGGCAGGGTGGGGATGTCCATCAGGCCTTGAGAGGGCCCTGATCTAGTGTGAGTGTGTGTGTGAGTGTTTGAATGTGTATGTGTATGAGTGTGCGTATTCGTATATGATGGAATTTGAAAAGATCCCATTGGTGGCTCAGAAGTGGAGCGCCCCCCCCCCGCTCCCAGTGAGGGGGTGGGGGGCGTGGTCGGGGAAGAACACTTGCCTAGCATGTGCTAGATTTGGGGTTCCATCCCATCGCCATCAGAAACAAAAAGAAATGAAAGGAGAAAAGAAAAAGTCAGAGAAAACTGAAACAGTTTGATTAATAATCCCAGTCCCCCGGGGGTGGGGGCGAGGCAGGAGGATCTGGAGCTAGAGGCTAGCCTTGGCTACAGAGCAAGGCCTCGTCTCACACATTTACACGTGTATTTGTATATGTGATGTTTTCTAACTGGTCACTGAGGCAGGGCCTCACTGTGTAAACTCACAGCCATCCATCATCCGCCTCCTGAGTGCTGGGATTAAAGGGGGGTGCCGTGCACCACACTTCCTTCCTTCCTTCCCTGCTCATTTTGGGGTCTCAGGTCTGCTGGTTCACAGGACATGATGGCTTTGGAGCCATGAATAAGAATTTTTTTAGGAGGGTGAGGGAGGGCTCCGTGCCACCTGGGTGAGAGGAAGGAGGCTCAGTTTTCACAAATGAGAGCTAGTGTGTGTGTGTGTTTCTAAATAAATATTTTTGCTGTTCATTTAATTTTTAAATTTATTTTAATTTCACGTGCATTGGTGTTTTTGACTGCATGTGTGTCTGCGTGACAGTGTCAGACCGTCTGGAACTGGAGTTAGACAGTTGTGAGCTGCCACATGGGTGCTGGGAATTGAACCTGCGTCCTCTGTGAGAGCAGCTGTGCTCGTAACAGCTGAACCGTCTCTTCAGCCCCCAAGCTAGTGTTTTTAAAAATTTATCTTATTTTTGGCCCGGTGGTGGTGGCTCATGCTTTTAGTCCCAGCACTCATGAGGCAGAGGCGGGCAGATCTCTGAGTTCGAGGCCAGCCTGGTCTACAGAGAGAGTTCCAGGACAGCCAGGGCTACACAGAGAGACCCTGTCCTGAAAAACATACAAAAATAAACCAAGTAAACAAAAGTCCCCCAAATTTTATTTTTAATCGTGTATGGGTGTGTGGATGGATGTGAGGACACGGGGTCCTCTGGAGCTGTTCCGCCTGGGTGGGACTCCCCAGAAGACTGGGTCCTGTGAGAGCAGCCTGTGCTCTTAACCCCTGAGCCATCTCTCCAGCCGTGTGTGTGTGTGTGTGTGTGTGTGTGTGTGTGTGTGTGTGTATGTCGCTGTGTGTGTGTGTGTGTATGTCGCTGTGTGTGTGTGTGTGTCGCTGTGTGTGGGGGGGACTTTTCACTCAATCAGTGGGAAAGGGGGACTCTTCACTCTGCCTCACACCCAAGGGCTCTAGAAATCCATCCGAGCTGAGCTGCTCCCACTGAGCGGCAAGTCACTGAGGACAGAGGACACTAAACACACACATCTTTGGTTCAATAAAAAGGCACTCGCCGACCTCGCTGTCCTCCTGTCCTCTCTCTCTCTCTCTCTCTCTTTCTCTCTCTCTCTCTCTGGGGTAGGGAACAGCCATGGGATGAGGGTGGGGACACCCTGGCTTCCAGCACAAACCCTTGGGGGTGGGGGAAATCTTTGGTATCAGACGTGATCTTTCGAATCACAGCATGGGCTCAGTGAGGTAGCCTTTACAGGATGGGGGAGGTTTCCTTTTTCTTTTTCTCACTAGAAAGTTCTCTTGCATTCTCTAGGGAAACTGGGGGGCCCCTCCCTGGGAGGCAGCCATGGGGTAGGGTTCAGAAGAGGATTCCCAGGATCTTGAGCCCCAGAAGGGGAGGGGTGAGGCAGCCTCCTGGGATCGGGCTGCCAGGCCGGTCTTGAAATGTCACACGGAGGGGAGGGGCGAGCTGAGCAGTGGGGCGTCCCTTGCCTCTGACCCTTCCCCATTGTACATTTTTTGGCAAAACAATGGAACAAGCAGTTTTCAACTTCATCTTCTCTCTTCGGAGAGAGGTCACCAATGCAAGGCTTCCCCTGAACGTCCTCTGTGGGGGGGTCTCGGGTACGTAGCCCCAGTCAACTGGAATTCCACAGACTTCCAGAGCTCTGCATCCTAGGGCCCCTGGATCTGGGAGAATCCGATGTCCCTCCCCTGGGATCTGGGGTGTCACCTTCTGCTCTCTGGTGGCCTTGTTCCCTGTGTAGCATTCTTCAAGGTGCTTATAATTAAGTTACTCAGGGGCGCTGGGATGGAGACGGCTGTGGGCAGCCCTCATCTCCACGTCGGTTACCATCTCCTTGGAGACAGGGGCTCCCCACAGGTTCCCTCCCCGGCGTTAAGGCAGGGGATGGTTGGCACAGGCTAATCCAGGCCGCCGGGGTCGGGTGGCGGCTGGGGTCTCGGCTGTGGGGGGCCGTCCTGCAGAAGGGTTGGCATGGAGGATTGGGGGTGCTGTAAGGATCCGGCTTGTCGTTGGTTTTGGCCACTTGGGGATGGGTCTCAGTTCTTGGGGAGGGGATGAGGGGACAGAGACCTGGCCTGGAAGAGAAAGTATGGGTAAGTCAGGCAGGCGTCCTCCTCTCTCCTTTTGAGGTCTGGGATCTGGGAAAAGGGTTCTCTATTTAAAAAAAAATTTTTTTTTAAAGTACCCGGGTTTTGTGTCTAAGGTGTGCTTGATTCATGACCCACTTCCCTCGAGGTCCCCTTGGAGTCGAAAACTGAGGGGGGCTGGCATAGGTCCCTGTCCCCTGGGGTGGGGGTGGGGCTTGCTTTGGCGGGGTAGGGGACGGTCCCCCCACCCCCGGCCCCTCGGTCCCCAGGGCTGGAGTGTGCGGTCCCCTGGGGCTGGGGTGGGTGTCACGGCGGAAG